CCCCCCCCCCCCCCCCCCCCCCCCCGAAAAAAAACAAGAAATCAGCTCTATAATAACGAGGGTAACCTGAATAAACTTAGCCTGCAGTCTGTCTCTTCAGTTGGGAATGACAAATATTATCTCAGGCTAATATGAATAACATCACAGTTTTACACAGAAGTTGTTATTTGTTATCGTGGGCTCTTTAAAGCCCACCTACCTTGAGCGAGAGCGTTGAAGATTTTCGAGGATTTCTATTGGACAGTTAACACACGGCCTCCGTTGTGGGCGCGTGTGATTGGTCGAGGCTGCTGTCACTCACTACTCCACTCTCTCCTGAGCACCTCCCCGGTTGTACGGCCCAAACGAGGATTTTCACGAAAACAATCAACCGCAGACTTGGTACCAGTGGCAGCGGGAACGGTGCTACGACGAACGGGACCCGACGTAACGGATCCAACGGTGTGACAGCCGAGTGGATGGCGTGCGTAAAGTTGGATAACGGTGTTCGGCCTTGACGAGAGACGTTAGACGCGTTCAATAGATTTCACGGCAATGCATGCGGTGTCACTTGTTCTGCAGAAAGACGGAGAGAGAGCGGCCAAAGTGGAGTCGCTCCCTCGGTAGAGCCGCCCGATGGAGGCTGACGGGACAGTGAGCTCGAGGCCCGGAATGTCACCTGTGAAACGTCAACAGCTCGTCGGGGGACGTCTTTAAGGGACAGACCGCGCACACCTGTCCGCGCTTTCGACTACTCACCTGACAACTTCTTAGTACGCCTGCACACAGAAAACAAAAGTTAGCAGGTCAGCGTTAGCTGCGGGAGGCGACCCCCTCAGGCAAGATGGCTATCATAGATGTCACTTAACGGGAGGTTTGACTTCTGCCTCAGGTAACACGGGACAGGTGAACAACACGCTATTTCCTATTTCATGGACTTCAAGCTTCTTTCTTAGAAAGTTGTCCTGTGATATTTCACCAGCAGCAAGTTGACTTTGTGTTGCGATCATTTAGCGTTTTTTTTTTGTTTTTTTTGTTTTTCAAACCAGAACTTTTTGGTATTTTTGTTTTATTTTTTTTTGTCTCATCAAGTGTCGCCTTCTCCGTCAGTCATGTCATTCAAAGACAATCCTTGTCGGAAGTTTCAAGCCAACATATTCAACAAGAGTAAATGCCAGAACTGCTTCAAGCCCAGAGAATCCCATTTGCTGAACGATGAAGACTTAAATCAGGTGAACTAATGTTTTCATTTCTAACATTGAATATTCCACTAATGTCGTCTTTGTAACCTTAACCTATATTAATGGAGAAGTGAAAGCCTGTTTTTTACTTGTCCGCTTGATGTGCACATGTCAAACTGTTTGTCATGTGTCAATAGCCCATGAAGGGCAAAGGTTAGGCTAATTGGACATAATTAGTTTCCAGCCCAAGGGCATATATTGCCCATAATTCATGCAGATATAGGCCTCCACCTTGCTGCATTCCTTACAGCAAAGTAAGCTCCTGTTGAGTCATTTGGGTTACAGTTCTATCTGTGAAATCTTTTTTTTATTTGCTATAATGTCCCATGCTACAACTCTTCCTTATTCTTTGCCACACTGCTGTCAAGTTAAGTCCTAAATGAATTGGAGTGTTGGTGCCTGTCAAAAATCATGCTGCTATGTTACATTACCATATTCACAAATAAAGATGTTCCAATGATGCTTCCTACTGGACTGCGTTGTTGACAGTGTGACATCAGGGCACACTGAACTCTGTTGGCCTCTATCGTGATCACTCCTTCGGGTAAGCTGTTTAACGGGACAGGTTAAGAGTCGCCGATATCTAGTCCGTTTATTATGAATGGCACCTCTGTGACCGATGCTTCTTCTGTTGGTAATGTCTTCAACGCGGCTGGGTGAGGAGGAAGATAACACCGAACTGACATTGTGCACATTTTCCTGTAATTTCCCTCCGTCGTGACCGATGGCTCCTCTGCTGGAATGGAAATCCTCTTGAGGTTATTTATTCTTCTCTGTGGAATTTCTGACCCACTGGCTATGAATCTCATTCCTTTTGATGACTGCACCCAGTGAAAGGTTAACATCGGTGGTCAGAGGCTAGAGACCCGGGGGCAGGCTGGCCTTGTTGTTCATTGTGCTGAGTCGTACTACGAGAACATACTGAGGGCCAGCGAATCTATTTCAATCCAGAACTGTTTTTCCGTTCCATTTAATTTGCTGTCCCACCAATTCATTTATGATGTGGGGTAATAAGATGTTGGTTGGGGGGGGGGGGGGGCTCATTGCAAAATGAAAACACGCAAACGCACTCAAATGGCTCCGTTTATCCACTGAATCGGTGAAGGGTAAAAAATGGCCCAGATTCATCTCGTCTGTTTCTCTCTCACGGGACGACTTGCCGTTTGTGCTGCTGTCAGGTCATGTGAGGAGAGATGGGACGCTCGGTCTAAGTGTTCCTCCTTCGGCTTTAGACTAAAGCCAGGAGCAAGCTAGTGTCCCGGTGTTGGTGTGATTCCCTCTCAACACTTCTTTCCAACTGTTCCTTCCTGCAGCCACGTTATCAAATAACGTATCTAAGGTGCTTTTCCTATGTGTCACTTCTTTCAAAAGTTGGATATTGTTTCCAGTGCAAGTCTGCCCAAACGCTTCACTGTCCAGGGTTACAGCTGGACTTCTGATTGAAAATTCTTATTATGTCATTTTGTTTACAAAATCGCTGAGCTGAGAAATATGCCGTACCTCCTGTAATCAAAGCAAAACCCGATTTTAGTGGATTATATTTGGCTTTACATGGGGATGAAGTTATGACTGTAATCAAAACCACTGATAGAGGGACACCGGCTTTAAATGTCAGAGCTTTTACACTTGATTCGTTGGCTGTTTTGTGCCGCAGACTTGGGAATGCTGTTGGATTGCGTAAGGGACTTAATTTCTTAAGCTCTTGACGTGTCGGTAAGATTTGAGTGCAAACATATTTAGTAAAGATGTGTGCTCCTGTACACACAACCTTGCAGTGGTTATGCAGAACTTTTTTTTTTTGGCTCAGCAAACAAATGCTGACTACTAGTATGGCTAGAGTTCAAGTGCGTACCAGAACGATTTAAGAGAGACTGCCCGGCCAACTTGCATTTCTCAGTGCGAGATTTGAATTGCAAATCTGCAGCCACAAAAGCTCTCGGGCTCTGTGCTGCTTCTCTCCACTGTTTCTCATCCACTGTTTTTCTTGCTAACTTCTGCCTCTTGCCGCCCCCCCCCTCCACCCACCCGTCCACCCACTTAGAGGATCAGAGGGAAAATCATGTGTGCTAGCCTTTCCTTTTTTTTTCCCAGGGCAGCATGGTGCTCTGGAATACAGCCAGCTGGAGAATGTAGCCTGCAGTCAACTCAAGGCAGCAAAGTGACTAATGCACACCTTCCTGGGGTTGAGCTAAAATGTGTGTGTGTGTGTCCTTGTAATCCTGGCTGACATTGGGACACAGTTTGAAACTAGCGACTCGCCTCCAGTTATATCGACAGTGAATTCAAATGTGCACAATTGAACCGTCAATCGGTATGTTAACGTGCCTGTTCAAGTGTTTGCTTTCAAGACTGTAATTGTGTTTTCCTTCACCAGGCCAAGCCTATATATGGAGGATGGTTGCTGCTGGCACCAGAGGGGACAAATTTTGACAATCCCTTACACAGATCTCGGGTAAGTGGTTCCTTTGCTCGACTCGAAATTGGTTCTGTTCAGAACAGAGCATAGTTTTGTCTCTTCAACTCTTTTTGACTCTATTTGACCCATTGTCTGTAGCTTCTGCTCAAACCAAGAGTGAGTTGAGAAACTAGTCCTTCCTTTATAATTTAGTTTCCCATGTGACATCTGACAAACAGGAGGTCTGGTTATTGTGGCTCCTGTAGCTGTTTCATGGATTCAGCAGCTTCCTGTGGGAGGCTTGGCCCTCTATCAGAAGAAGTCCCATTCTCCAGCAATAATGAGCCCAATATTGACTTTATTTCACGAGTCCTGCTCCCCTAACACCATGTAATAGGAGACTTGCTCTGTTGCACCGCTTCCTTTATCAGCTCTCAGATTATACTGTGGTGGTACATCCCAAAGAGGAGTAGAGAGAATGTGGGGGAGGAGAAGGAAAAGTCCCAGTTCTCACAGCCACACTGATGGCTTCCATATGTTGGTTTTTTTGGGGGAAAAGCACCTCCGGATCCTTCAACTCAACTACTGTCAACAGACCGCCGCTGATGTGTTCGGCCTATTCTTACAATCATCTTTTCCCCGCCGATGTATAATTGGTGGCCTGTAGTGCTGAGGTGTGCAGGCTGTGTCATTTCGACTGACCAACAAACAAATAACAGAGAAAAAAGTGCTGACTTGTTGGATGAGTCATGTTTTAGGACCACTTTAGTCTGACAGGATGCTGGTCTGCGGTTGTATTTTGCCTAACGACACCGTAAGCCACTTATCTATCACCTTTTTAATGGATATGACTGAAGTGTCCCCTTTAACATCAACTGTGAAGCTTATCAGCACCCCTATCGAGACCTTCCGATGCCTTTTAGGTTACAAAGCACCGCTCAATATTTCATGGATTGGGCTCTGTTGGAATTGGAGCCCAGGATATTTAACACTGAGACAAAACGGTGCATTAAGGAAGGAGGGGGGCGGGGGCAGCGCATCAAGCCAATGAGTAAAAGAGATCAACGTGAACTGTCACCATATCATTTGCTCAAATATTGGCAGAATTAACGATGTAAAAAACTATGATCGGCTTCGTCTTCCCCAGTAGGCTGAGGTCCATTAACATTAACATGTGTTTTAAGCAAACGCTGACGTGAAACTGTCTGATATCATCTTTTTAAAGTTATGTGCATTTTACATGTATATCCTGTAAGACGAATTCATTCAGCGGTGACATTGAAAAACAGGGGTTTTACTATTTCTGTCTCTTTTTCTTTATATATTTCTTCATGAAGAAAAAATGATCTTGATTTGCCGCCAGCTTGAAAACCTTTTTGAAGTTGTGATGTAGTAGAAAATGTGCCAAGGACTGGGACGCTACTGCACGGCAGCTGTTTCCAAAAGCTTGCTAGCCCTTGTGTATTTATGGGTTGTATGTGTATGCAGTTCAGTCTAGTGGCAAAGATTCAAGATTCTGATTGCATCATGGACAGATTCATTTACAGATGCAGTAATAAAAATCTGCCTCTTATAAACCTAACATCTGTCCACACTTCTAACAGTAGCTGCTTTGTTAAACTGCCATAGCTAAAAGTGGCTCATGTAAAATATAATACAGCTTTCAGAACCCAATGTTTTTCACATGTGGCTTTGTTCTTTACAACATGCTGATGTGGCTCACTTCTGGGATTGTTATGATGTCAGTAATTCAAAAATGTCTTCTTTTTTTTTTTATGCAGAAATGGCAGAGGAGGTTCTTCATTCTTTACGAGCACGGCTTACTGCGCTATGCCCTGGACGAAATGGTGAGTAAAAACTTTCCTCCTAATAGTTTTTCCAATAGTTATCCAATAAAGGGCCTGCTCTCTTTTCAGTTCAGGCCCTGACCACTACGTGATTATCTACAGTAGGTTTTTACTGTGGCTTGATTTATTATAATATACATCCCATGACAGTGAAGTGTTAAGTACCTTTTGACTCGAGCAGAGAGGCTGATGGGGGATTTTATGCTTGTTCATTTTTTTAAAATTATAAACTGAGGTTCTCTCAGTGAAAGCTTTTCACACGAGGACGTTTCAGAGGAATACCTGGAGGATGTGATGCGCTCACTGCCACTCGACCAGGCAGTCGCCTCACTCTTAACATTAGCACTCTTCTCATCCGACAGACTCATTTGTGAACGTGTTAAACACTAAGCTAACTAGCGCAGCGGTGTCAAAGGGAATGCAGTGACAGCATATGGGGAAAGTCATGTGACGAGCTGTGTGTGTTGGTTTCAGTGGCTAACAGGCTTATTGTGCAAGAGCCTCATGGTACCTTCCTGTTCTGAATATAAAGAAATAAGTTAAAAAACAACTCAATCCCAGGAATACTGATGTCTTTAGTGATCTGTATTGTTGTCAGCTGTTGGATATCTATCAGTAATTCTAAAAATTAAAATGTAGACTGCCTGTGTTTGTAGGTCACTTGTGTGAATACTATAGTTTGTGGGTTCTATATGCACTGCAGCACGTGGGCACGCTGAATATTGATTGGCCCAAAGCAGCACTCCACAGTTTTTCTTTTTTTTTTGTGTGGATGTGCTTTGAAAAGAGGTGAAAGCAGAAGTAGTTGAAACAGCACTTGCTTTGTTGCTTCTGACCCTTTCATACTGTATGTGGCATTCTCTGGCAGAGGAGCGATGTGCTGGGAGGCTTTATGTAACAGAAGCAGCAGGAGCTGTGATGCTGTGTAGATTGTTCTTCTTCGGTACTGTGCCCTTCAGGGTCATTTCTTTCCCCCTATAGAAATCCGCTACATGTTGAGTGGAAAAGGCTATTTGCATAGTGCATCCAAGTTTTTCTTTTTTTTCTTAAACCAAGGTTCTCCTTGTACTAAACATGTCAAAAAAAAGTTTGGCCTAAATGTCAAACTCTATCCAATAAATTGCATTTGTGTGTTTACTGGAAGAGACAAAGGAAAGAGGCGGATGTGCTGTTTCCATTCATCGTTCTCTCTCTCGATGTCACTCTTCATTTTTTCATCTCCGCTCTGAATGAAGGATCAAAAGGAGAAGAGGGGGGTAGCAAGGGTCTCGAGCTGGAAAATATCAAGTGACACTAAATATAGAACCTCACTTGTCACACAAAACTCATTAGAATAATTGCTCAGTGTTGAATAATCGGCTGCACAAACTTGGCTAATTTGCGATCCGGCTCTTGTTTTCTGTGGACAAAAGAGGTAAAAATTTTAGAATCTGATCGGCATTGTAGGATTTCATAAAATACAGTTTAATGCCATGTTCACTTTTATAGACGGTGAAGGTAATGACGTAAAATACATATAGTGGCAAAACGTGGTCTGAATCTAAAGAAATATTAATAACACCAGAGCAGTTTGAGTGTGTGACTTTTTACTGGTGATCAAATCCAAGTAGCCAGTATTGTTTTGCCTTTTTAGAAGTAATCTCAGCTTAGCTATTATTGCAACATTGTGTTTGTGCAGTGATGCCAAAATTCAATACTTTATTGCACCATTGATGTGCAGTAGGGTATTTGCCCATACTGGATGATGGGTATGGTTTTGAAATTTGACACACAGCTATAAGGTATGCAGTAGTATGCATATAACATGCGGTTACAATGTTCAGTGCAAAATGTTTCCGATTGCTACGATCAACATTAAATACAAGAGACTGACACTAAGATCAGTTTAAATGCTGTGTTGTTAATGACATCAGGTCAAATCTAAAGACTGCCGGCTTTCTCCAGTACAACGTTGCTCCAGACCACATCAGAGCCCCCATCTGAGAGCACTGGTTGGGGTTGTAGATGAGGAGGTGCCCCTCCGGCTCTAACCAAACCCAGATGGAGTGCGGTCCCAACCTACAGGATGTGGCACAGCTCTGGGGGAAAGGAATGGGTTAGCAGAGGCCTGGGAGGGATCACAGTTTTTAAAGCCATCGATTTGGGGTTGACCACCTATACAGTGAACACCCAACACGACGCACCACTGCCATCATCTTATGCTCAGAGCCGCTGTGGCTTTGCGGAGCCGTCGGTGAAAGTGTAGCGTCAGTATGAGCAAGATGAAGAGGGGAAAAAGTGCTCCGATTGGAAGGATGGAGAGGGTGAATAGCCGAAAATGTTGGCCAGGATAGATCATGTGCTGCCATGCAAGCCTTAATGTGTTAGTGCAGCTCTCAGCGATCGTTCTTGGCGTAGCACTCCGAAGACGTGAGTGGACACTGTGTCCAAGACTGAATTCTAGCACTTTACATTTTATTAGCTGCAAACGTGGAACTGAGATAACTGTACTCACAAAGCCCACTGTCGATTCAGCCTCCAGTGTTCGCCGAGTGTACAAGCTAGATTCTCCCCGAGCAAACCAACGCAGTTATTTCAGGGGAGCGTTGCCAAGGCGACATGTTTTGTCCCTTTTGTCCAGCAACCGTCTACCATGGCGTGTGTAACATGGGAGAGAGTTATTCTCTGTTCTGTGGAGAGCTCTGTGGCTGTCTCTGTCCCAACTGAAGGGGATACAGGACGGAACACTCTGGAAGCAAAGCATGAGTGTGTGGGCTGAGGTTCTCTCTAGTCATGTGGTGAGCAAGCCTTTCTAGGTTTAAGTGTAGAAAAACATCAGACACTGTTTAGAAACTAATGTGCAAGGCTGTATCGGACAGAGTTGTAGTTTGTGCTGTGTGTGTGTGTGTGTGTGTGTGTGTGTGTGTGTGTGTGTGTACTCAATGCACCTGGGCCCGATGGGGGTTTGACTGCAGTCTGTCAGCAACAGGTTTTGCAAGGTTTGAAGAAAAAAAAAAACCCCTCCGCTTTAGCCGTCTGGAGTTAACACTGTTGAGAGAAAGAGGTCTTATAATCACTCAGAGGTGAGGTAAAGAAACATGAACAGAGACCGCCCAAACACAACTGTGCGAATACGCTGTTCAAGGTGTTTAAGTGATGTGAGAAACACGCCATACACACACAAAGCCATTATCGCCTCGTGGTGAGGGCTGGTAGGTGGGTGTAAAGAACTCTCCAGCCTCAACAAAGCCACGCGAGTTCAAATGATCAACACCTACACTCTAATAACGGCTTTGCTAATGTGGTCCTGAATATCCCACACAACACCCAGCTGCCACTGACCTCGCATTGACCTAATTGTAACCTTTTCGGACTGACGCACTCGCACACCCCCCTCATTATATGATCTGGGATGAAATAGTTGTCTTTGCAATGTCTCAATCTCTGTTGCAGCCTCAGTTTTTTTCATTTTGCTCTGAAACTATGTTATGACGATGTACAATATTTCCTCACTTTATTTGGAGGCCATTGGAGAAGACGTTGCACCTTGTGTTCTGATACCTCAATTGTTTTTTATCACCGATTGAACATGCACAGTACACCTGCAAATACGATGAGTTGCACTGCACAAAAGGCCCATTCAGAGGCTCTTGAATCGCATTTGCCTTTAGAATGTATTGACTGCAGTTGACTGTCTGTTCCACAGCCATATCCCTCGTTATTCCAAGGAGAACGTGATGTTCTCATGACATTTCAGCTGTTGAAGTCATTCTCATTTCATCTTAACTCAATTAATTTCCAGTGTTTACTGGATTTGTAAGAGTGGACCCCTGCCCCACAGCACAGTCCAGGAACTGAGTGTTTCGACAAACTTCCCTCCGTTTCCCACACATATTTGTGCGTTCTTTTAACCTGAGGCACACTATTCTGTTCCCTCTCTCCTGCATCTTTCAGACACGAGCACATACAACCGCTGAGCAAGGTTTGCCCTCAAACTTGTAAGACATTTTGACGTGCTGAAACATGCATAAACTGGGCTATTTTTAACCAATTTTGAGGAGCTTTTGTTGGTTTGGGTATGACGATAGCTTTCTAGGGAATGGATGAGTGGGTAGGGCCTCTGAGCTGTGTTGTTGCCTTCAGGCACTCTATGCAGGGAATAAGTGGAGGCTGACTAACCCGTCCCATCAAATTAGGGATACTTATAGGGGAGCTCCAGTCTTCCACTCGCAGCAAGGCATGGGAAACAGAGTGGAGAGGGGAGCTAAGGCTGCCTGCGGTACACAAGTTTGTGTTACAGTACAAGATGGATAGATGGATGCTTTAGGGTTGAAAGGCGGATTGGAGAGAGAAGCAGATGATTCAGAGGGAAAAGGGTAAATGGGTTGTCGGTCACAGCTCGTGTTGATAAGGCGGTGTAATCCCTCCATATTGGATCATTGTAGTTTGTTTACAGAGTGTGGGTCCTGGGTGAGGCGTGTGTTGGTTTTGTAGAGATATGGTGCGTGAGAGTCTTCTTTAACCCCTGCCCTTCCTTCCCCATGGTTCCAGTAGGAACTGATCTGCTGGAATGTAAACAGCCATGGATTACAGTGGGGTCACTGTTCCCATCGCACAAAGCCACAAAACCATGGGAACAGCCATTCATACAGCTTGTAATCATCAGGGTCTCCGACACTGTAACGGCCAATCCAAAAAAACTGTCATCCAGTTTACTATATTTACTATATTTACTATATTTAACATTCCCTTGTTTTTGTTTTCATATCCAGAAATAGGGAATGTTTTATCCCAGGACTTCCCGAGCTGTGGGCTGGGGGAGGCTGACCACAATGAGGCTGCAACACACAGGAAGTTATTCTCCCCAGTTTTGTTTTTCAACCACTGTGCAGGTATCACGGCCAACCAGTAAGAGGTGAATGTGCATCTACAGATTCGATATCTGAGCGTCATCGTTGAATATCTTTTCTTGTAGAATGTAATTGTTAACACCGATGTTCTCACGAGTTTATCAACCAGTG